AGACCATTTTCATTTATTCGCTTCATTTTGAAGAGTCAAATTTTAACATAACTTTGAATGTAACTAGATTATATAGTAATGCAATTCCATAATGATGGAATTGCATTACCATGTAATCTACCAGTACACCTAATGAGGTGTATTAGTAAATATTTTTATATTTAATTTAGATTAAACAAGACTCATTTACTAGGCATTCTCAGTTCCTGAAAACAAAATTATCCACTCGTTTCCGATTTTTTCCCACTGACAACTAAAAAAACAACTAAAAATTATTATTTTATAAAGCCAGCAATACAATGACTATGTTGGTCCAACGTTGCCGGGTGAAGGCCAATACCAACGTATAGACAGCCTATTTGCCTTGCCTTGCCTTGCCATCGTTCGGTGTCACTCGCCTAGCTGACCGAGTGAAGGCGAGCGCTAACGTGTTCGTTTGACGTCACTTGCTCCCGTCACCCTAGACATAAGTTAACAAGTCGCATGTGACCGTAATTTCACCAGCACCCTTACCTTTCTAAACCGAAACGCAGTAATGCTCTCATTACTGCTTGGCGGCAGAAATAGGTAAGGTGGCAGTACTACCCTAGACGACCTCTTTCACAAGGAAGTCTACTGCTACTAAGGTACTACTTACTATACATTCACAAATGTACGTACTTGCCGCCACAGGAATTCGACCCGTTGGCATCTCAATTAAGAAGCAACGTTTTCCCACTGCTCTTCTTGAATAACTGACTAACAAGACTTACAAGACGAAGCTCGCTGGAGCAGTGCCGCTGACGTCATTACGAACAGACGAACGTTAGGTAATTGTGTTATGGGGGAGTTAACATTCGTTAGAGCTAATGTATGAGTGACATCCGATTGCAGAAGAGAATCGTAAATGTTGTGTGCGAACACACAACCTCAGTTTGTATTTATTATAGTTGTGCGGTCGACGGTTACGTATTATGGTGGGTGTGTTCTGTCTGTCACTGTATTGTTTGGTGTTGCATGCACCAATACTAACTGCCAGCTTTGCATGAGACAGTTCAGGATGGTCGTCATCCCAACGGTGAGACTCAAGACTCGTCTCTGGGATTTACGTAATGTGCTTTACAAAAGGATAAATCTTAGGTAATATTATTATGTGTCGTTCTGATTATTGGAGAAGCGATACTAAGCTATCTACGAATCACATTAACTAGTCTCGATTATGGTTTCTTTGTTTACAAATGCGACGTCAGTTTGTTCCTTTATTTTTTCCGTCCTCTAAGGGGTGAGGTCGCAGGGGTGACGCTGTTGTCGTTTTTTTATTGTAATTTTCTTTTATGGCACTATAACAGCAGACACCAGGCGCAAACAGTATAGAAAACAAAAAAAGACCTAAAAATTAATACCGTAGGCACATCCGAGCCCAATTATAACTATGTTCAACATTCAAAATTAAATATATAATAACTAAATTAATTATTATCAGAATAGAAAGAAACAAAACAAAAGTATTATATTGTATAGTTTGAATCGGTTCAGTTGAACCAGTCACCTGACGTGGTCCTATAAGGAATGAAATCGATGGTCGTTGCTTTATAAACGAGCGCGCATTGACATGAGGGGCTTTTTTGTCAGTCACTTGGAAAGTGAATAATCGACCACGGCCGCTCCCTGTGAATTCGTCGTGTGTCATTTAAAGTCAGTTTTAATTTGATCCATTGTTTGTTCATTCAAACTAATTACTATGAAAAGTGGATAAACGAATTAATTACAATCATGTGACGTTATTATTTCACCGCTGACTGAACGAATTGATAACGAACACTGAATAGGCCAATTGCCGCAATAACACTTAATTCATACGCAAACGGTTCTTATTTCATTTCTGACTAAATCATTGAGAAGGGCGATTCCCAGAATGTTTCTCGGACGAATATATTCGACACATATATTATTAATAGGTACAGGAAGCCTGGAGACCTAATAATAATAATAAAAATCAATATTAATGTTTTAGGCTTTGGGAGACGCGACAGGCGAGGCTTATTTCGGACGACAGGGAGCCATGAAGTGTCAGTAACAAAATAGGTTATAATTAGTACTTAAATTCTACAACGGATTTTGTGGTTACTATTAAATGTTAATGTGAGAAACGGAAGTTGGGAAGGAAGTTAGGTAGTACACGTCGCTTAATGTGCACAGGGTATATTTACTCACCGCCGGTTAAACAAGTTCACAAGACCGACCTATTGACGACTAAACGTGTCTTGGCCGCAGTGAGAGGATTTAGCAGAAATGCTACATCGCTAGAGCGGGTGATGACTTTGACTTGTGGTTTGTAGTGGTTAACTGAATTTAATAACTTTATATGAAATTTATTACTAATTCATTCTCATAGATTTTTACAGTGTTTGCCGATGAAGCTGTTCCTGCAACATTTTAATCGACATGTGATGCGAACACTGTTCAAACCTGAACAATAGTAATACAATGCAATATACTATTATCCTGTAAGAAGAATAACCATTTTTCATGAGTATAAGAAATTTTAGAAAAGAATCCTTTATATACCAGGAGACCGCTCTTCAACATACCGTTTTCGAATGTAGAAAAGCGAGACTCCTAACACTAATAATACTTACGTATAATCTCAGTACAGAGTACTAAAAAAATCGACCTCAAAAGTCATTCATCTCCTAGTTTGCCACCCTTAGAAGTGGAATATTTTCTTCAAATTTAAATGGGACCACTTCTGAGGTACCTTCTTTCCAAAAAAAAAGAATCATCAAAATCACAAACGGTGTTATCGCGTAACATACCTACATACAAAAAAAAAACATGCGGTTGAATTGACAACGTCCTCCTTTTTTTGAAGTCGGTTAAATATTTGTGCTCAACTCAGACTGATTGTAAACTAGAAGTACAAACAATTTTCTTAACGGACATTTTGGAAAAGAGTTTAAAGTTTACATTTAAAGTTTAGCGAAATAGACACTATGAACGAATGCAGCTTGTTTTACCCGGTAAAATAAGCTAATAGGTACACTACTAATGTTATTTCAGCCAGACAACGGGCAGACGGAGTGATGGTAATCGTGTTACTGCTGGGTTAAACCAATCACGTACTATTATTTATGAGCGACTGACTTTGCTCGCCAGGTATTTCAGAGACGTATTAGAATTGGTATCAGTATTATATACAATGTATTGATTTGTATTCTCGCTATATTTACAAAGGTCATTTTCTATATCCGGAACTGAACCCAAATCATGAAAAAAATTAATCGAAAAAAAAATTTCATAAATTCCTATTTTTTATTTAATTGCGGTAAACAAATTTGGTCCAAAGGTCATTTATTGACTTGCACAGCACTTGCAAACATTTAGAACAATGACCTTAAATGCTCATAAAGAAACGCATTTTAGATCTGTTTGGTGGTGGAGTGCGGGTAGTGACGCCGGGGGAGTGCCGTATCGAGCGCGCGATTGGTAGATCAGTCGACCTTGCTTCCTTTACTGCATCTACTTCACGCTGACATCCCGCATACATTATATTCTAGTATGTCACGAAATGCACTTGGTTTGGTATGTAAACAAGAGTTAGTAGTGCAAAAAAGAACCGCTGCCAGGTTCACCAGAACCTGCATGCTAATCCATTAAGTACAAGTGCGTGTCCATTCTTATGGTATGATGAGAAGAAACGTTTAGTTTACGCGGAGGATACGAATGTCGAAGTTTCTGTTTTCAAAGTTGTGGAGTGAAATGTTGAAATGAAACCTCACGTGCCAATCTTTGGAGCTGGTGGCTCCGGTGCGGAGTCAGCCACCAGCTGTGGATCTAGGTACTTCTAACAATACTTTCATGTAACCTAAAGTTGGTAAGTACCAAATCAAAGTTACAAAAAACATTTTTCAGTCAACTTTTTAAATTAATGTAAGTAATTAGTAAATTATAACAATGCTAGTACATAATCATAATTAAAAAAAATAAGTAAATAAGCGATCGAGAAAAATCACGTATCGCTCAGTGAAGCGCATGGCGGGGTCACTGACCTTGCGTGGTGCATACGACTTGAGACAATTTTGCAAAATTTTACTAAATACTAGATATACTATTAGCCAGAATATTGAACAGAATATATTTTTAATATTTTTAAATGATTTAGCATTATTTCTATTTTTAATTTCTTAAATATGGCGAGAATGCAAATCAACACACTGTTTAACAGACATGTTACATTTAACACTTTTTCTTAATTTCGATTCGGTGTCAAAAGAATTTTGACTGATACATAACCAAATAGATTTCTTTAATCTTATAGGGAATTTTGTTGTATATAATAGAAATGAAACACTATTATTTTTTATACGCATACAAAAGAAAGTACCTTTATTCAACGGCGCGAGCGCAACGTCTTCGCCTCGGGATCGGTCCACGCACCATGGCTCTTCAAAAAACCGAGAGCGCAGGAACGTGCGTTCGGCTCGACGGAAATAACCGAAGGTGACGCCGCCGCCATTATCACTGCGCGCGCGCATCGTCAAGTAACGGCGTTACTTTTTATTTATTTAAAAGTAACAGCAATAACATTTATTATAAATACTTAATAATATTCTAAATAATGTAATCGCTACAATCTTAATTCAACTGTACTCTGATGTTTTGTAATTTAATTTTTTTTTATTAATTTTATATCGATGTTTATGTGAATTCAAATAATTCCGTTTTGTTAGTTATAATTTTAAATACCTATTTTATTGCAAGTTGTGATGTTCCTTTAGCGTTAATAAGGCACTTAGTTTTTAGGCTTAAATATATCGTGATTTAATGTATAATGTTTTCAATGTAGAATATCCCACATAAATGATGGTCTCTACATAAATATATTTGCAGCCTTTTAGTCGAAAAGTATATTTGTCAGAGCGCATAAATATTTCAGCTCCCCTTAAACGTTGTTTGATATTATGTTTATTAAAATTTTAGTTCGTATAAATTTAATAAAAGATAAATACCTTGTTTAACAGAATTTGACAGGATATTACGTAGATTTGGCGCCATCTACCGAGTACAGGAATGGGGACCTTCATAACAAAGGATATTTGGCCGGAATTCTTGCTATATTGAAATAACCTTTGTTTAAAGCAGTAGTTAATGATATTTTTATACCAGGATCGTTAATTGGTATCTTGATTATGGACTGTGGTTATGAAATAGAAACTAAATTCTGAACAAATCTGAATTTGAGGCACTCTTGTTCATACTACCACAAACGCAACAATAAAAACGTCCATTATTTTGTGTCACTGTTTAAACATCGAGCGACTTTAATTCTTTAATTAATGGCGCGTGTGGCGATCCACGTTAGGCAACGCGAGTGCACCGCGAGATCATGCGAATGTGTGCGTCCATACATAGCGCGCGGCGTGCGTACACACACACAAGCCGCGCTGGTACGCTTGTATGGAGTTGCCGTAGTTGTCTTATGGGTCGTTTTCAGATAACCTCCGAAAATGTGTCCCTTTCAATAACTTTTATGTTATTACATGAATGCGAAGCATTACTTATTTAATATGTTTGCTTGCTTACTTGGTCTGTGTTACACATAAATGACTACTTTACTACGTCACAGTAATAAATAAAAATTAAAAAAGTGGGCAATTTCTCATTTATGGGAGCCGGTTCCACGTCGCCCTAATTTTAAGAAAAGAAGAAAAAACAATTAAACACTCGTAGAAATCGCAATCGAGGATAAACTCTAATAACTTACACGTCGAAAACATATCGTAACTTACCAATTTATTACAAACAAACATGTATTCTTGGGAATACAAAATGTGTTTCAATTCTTCTTATCATTAGTGTCAATTCAACTTAAAAGCCTCCTAATAACAAAAGTTCATACCGCATCACCTTCACCCTTCGCACACGTGAGAAGGGGCTCCTGTCAGATTGGAGTGTACACAGTGAAGTAACCTGTGCATCTCCGTTTTAACAAAAAATCGACTTAAATACCAATTTCAGCGCTAGTGACTAAATCGTTCTCATTCGTGTAAAGCAATCGATCTAAACAAGTATTAAGTAATAGTTTTATAAACTTTATTAGACAAAGGGAACTTTAAAATCCATGCACTTTTATAACGGTCCAGCATATTGAACACACTTGACAATTAAAAATGTATCCAAATATCATTATTGTCGCTCTCATTCTTGTCTACTTTCAAGTCAAATAGTTACTCTAAGCCAAACATTTACTTGAAATATAACAATTAGATGGTGACAGTGGTGGTGATGACGGTGGTGACGACGATGATGGTGGTGATGATGACGATGATGATTGTAGTGATGATGATGTGGATGGTAATGATGCTGATGATAATGGTGATCATGATGATGATGTTGATGGTGGTGATGATGACACATTGATGTACAACAAATTTAATATGACATTAACGAAAAACTAATTTAGATTTATTTATTAATTACATATAGATAGATAGATGGTCTTACACGGATGAGAAGGATTTTGATACAAGAAGTCATATTAAAATATTTGTTACATGTTAAATGTTGTTAAATATTGCTTTGTGAACGATAAAATGTGTGTTGTAATAATAATTTCTCATTACTGTGCCGTCTTTCTCATTTACGTTTATGAGAAAATCGTTCATGTTACTGCAATCTCATTAGAGTTACCTAAAATATAATTTTTTTGTTGTATTTAACTTAAATATTTCTGTGATTTTATAATTATTGACATTGCTTGAACTTATTTTTAGGCTTTAAGGTCTTAAATGTACAAACTAAAAAAAGGGTTTTACAAAATCACTCAAAAAGTGCCATTGAAATTGGGAAAGTGGAATTCACCCTGCTACCATTTAATTGTATAGGACAGTGTAAGCGTCTATGTTTTTTTCAATAAGCAGGTCTTTTATTGATTTAGTAGTTTGATTGATATTAATATTATATATTAAATATTTTCGCTAGAATACGTATTTGAATATGTTATTATATTAATAATAAATAAAGCTAAGGAGGGGCGGAAAAGTGACCATAATCGTTACTTTTTTATTCTCTGATTTGGTAGAAGGTCAGTTATCTACTGCATTTTTACAGTGCACCTAATGGTGCACTAGTTTAAAATCCAACTTCGACTTCCTATGTCAGTTTTGTTCTACGATGCAGTAAAACTATTTCCGGAAATCCCGAATTCGAAAAATGTGAAAATGATTAAGTATAATCAATAAATTTTTGGTGGTTTTAACAACTCTATGTCGCTTCTTGTAGCTATATTATACACAATATGTACATGTATGTATGTGTATGTGGAACACCTTTTTCCGAATATTGCATGAAATAAACGTATTAAGGACACGCGCTTCTATCCTTTTCAAACAAAACAAGGAAAGATACTGACATATGAAGAGGCTGTATGGTGGAACCTTTGCCTAGATACTCAAATAAATGGGGAAAATTTATTTAAAAAAATTACGAAAATATTTACAATTTTGATTTCTCTATAACTTCGTTATGATAGAGGTACATATTGTTTAAGAATAAGTACTAAATAGTACAATTGTCGTACACTTTGGTTGGTACCAAATATGTCAGGATTCGTTAAGATGCACACGGCACTCTAAAATCTCAACATATTGTGTCTTATTTCTCAGAAACTAACCAGCAGATTAAGCTGGAGTTTCCTTTACTTCAGAGTACCTACTACTAAGGTACAAATTTTCGGAATATGAAGTTTTTATAGTTATTAAATAAATACTGGTAATCCGAGGTACACCCGCCATATTGACAGTCAATATGGCGGGTATACCTCTGATATTGATATAACTTCGTTCGATACACCCGCCATTCTGACTCTCACCTATTAACGCTTCCAACGTGTCTAGTAATGTCGGTAAAATGTCGTCCTACTCATTCCGCCGCTAATGGTCGCGACCGACACCGTATCTGCTAGGAGGAACCGTGCCACACCGCCCCGAGGAGCTGGAGCCCCTCACCCCGTCGCGGTCGACCGAACGGTTGCACCGCGAGATGCAAAACCTCGAGGGGCTGATGAAGGACCTCTCAGCCATCACGCAGCAGCAGTTCCACTGCTAGCCGCCACCGCGCACGCGGATCGACTTGGGCGTCGTACGTAACCTGAACGATCATGCTCTGCAAATTTTAAGACCCCCACCGTTAACCGGGAGTAACATTTTTTAATCGCAGCTCGACGTAGAAGTCCACTTTCACATTACACCTATGCATGGGCTCTTCAACCACCACTTCAACGAATTGACTGGCAATAAGTATGTCATAAACAGAGTTGGAACTTTTATAACACACTGTAAGGAAAGACAGAGCTAGGTTGCGACCGGGTTAGCTCCATTACTTTTAGCGTAAACTTAAGATATTATGGACGTGGTCGCAGGCCGAGGTGGTCATTAGATTTGCGCAACATGTGGTCGTTGAATGCACAGCAAGTTAAACAAATGAACTCACGACAAAAGTTCAGCAACTGTGTATGAATTGAAACTAAACGTATTTTTAAGTATTTACCAATTGTTTAGATGTGATGAATCCCTACATACTAACAAAAATGACCAATTGTGATCACGTTCCGTCAAGATCAGAAAGTACTTTGCACATTTCCCACGCTCAAATCAAAACAAAATTTTATAGTGGAAATATTTAGACAAATATTCATTAACATTGTTTTACAAACACTGTATACAATTCATGGGTTTGTGACTAAAATATAATAATATGTAATGTCTCCTAATGTCTCTCCTAATTAGTTTCAAACATCAATATAGGGAAGATGAAATATTATAAGATTGACAAAGACCCTTCGCGTGTTGCATTATTTTCCATCATAAATAATTTATTTTGCTTTGCTGACTCAAAGTTTTAAACTGTTCCTTAAATATTCTCCAAAAAACGTTCCAAACAGCCTCAACATTTTCGTATCAATTTTTTTATGGATTGTAAAGATTACAATTCACGACAGACGTTTATGCAATGAATTGAATTTAACTTATGTGTTCGTATGTCCATAGGTTTTTGTACCATTCTAATTAAATTCAAATGTGCCTCGTAACATCCTAGATGATATTAGGGTTCCAAGTTGGAGCCTAGATTTTGAGGAGAAGGATTTTGAAAAGAAAAAGGATCCTAGAAAACTATTAGCGTGATTTTAGATTTTTAGTTTAATTTCTATCTACCCTGTTTTGACCTATTTACCCCTGTAGTGTTATATACTTTCTTAGTGTATTATACATACTTGTGATTCGTATACCTTATACATATAGCTGTTATTGTATATAATTAAGTATGTAAGTCTTAACTTTAACATAAACGTACTAAAATTTACGAATTTCGAACAATGGAAGTAATTTTTGTGTTCATCATGTCTTGCCTAGTTTTTATTTTAATGTTAAAAGCTTCTTGATAAGCTAGTCATATTGTACTGTGTACTGACAGGTAGCGACGTGGGCAACCAACCATCTATACTCCTCTTAACTGCTAAGTTAAATACTATATATACCCCATCTCCCGCTTTCACTATCGCGCCTGTCTCCCACTGAGGTAGGCAGAGACCACACTCCTAGCAAACTCCTTTCGCCTCCTCCACTTGCATCAGTCTCAACACTCATGCCTGTTTATTTTTGATAGAATATCCTCAATCTGATTTGAGAATTATTTTAACGAAAAAACTTTAACAACCTTACACGCCTGACGTATGTGAAAAGCTGTATATTTTATGAAGAAAGGCGTTTTGAGACTGTTGTTTTCGACGTCCGCCATATTGATTGCTGACGTTACTTTTCACGTTTACTTCTTCCGCTTCCACGTAATCGAGTAAGGCCATTTTAAACAAAAATTTACAGCACAATTATTTCTAAAAACTTCGAAACGAACAACCTAACGTCGCCATTGGACATCGCCTTTGGACATCGCACTTTTTTATATAATATTATGTAAATATTTTATGTATGTAACATTTTATAAATATAAGATTTAACTAAACAGTTTTTGATAAAATGTAACTTTTAATAGTGTTACAGCCTGACAAAAGAGTAGCTGTAAAATTTTGTACTGACTTTGTACGAGTAAAATAAATAATGTAACGTTTATTATTAATAATAATAAATAACAACTATTAAAAACGTAAAGATGAGTAGGTCGTGATCTCATATGGTTTTATTGCCGACAAAATCGCTTGGGTCAATTTCCCCGCTATAGGAAAAAATACGATTCATACTATTACGCAAACTTTTTTTCAGTATAGTGGGTAAAGACTACATTTATCCTACTTATTACAACCTTGGCGGACAGTCGTTACTTCGTTCACTATTTTGTTATATATATTATGTCTATATACAATTCAAATTATTTATAATGTTATTTTTATATATTACCATTAGTTACGTCCCGACACTTCCATTGTATTTAATAATAATAATAACGCACACAACATAGCCCCGCACTAGGGAAACCCTAATTCGCGGGTGCCATGGACACACACATAGACACACAAATTACACCCAAACTCACGAGAGAAATAAATGTAGGCCATACAAATATTTCTCCCGGCTCGGGAATCGATGGCAGTCCGGCATGGTAACCGTTCGACCACCGAGGCAGTTGCATTTAGTAAGCAGCGTTGCCAATATGTGGGGAATTTCAAATCGTTTGAGCTTGATTGGTGTTTTTGTGGGGATTGGCGCTACGTGGGGACAATGCGGGCATTCTGGCATAGCGTCAATAGAGCCAATCGAACCAAACCTACAGCGCCAATCCCCACAAAGGCCTCAATCTAGTTCAATTGAATTGAAATTCCCCACACATTGGCAACGCTGTTAGTAAGTTAATATCCACGATCCAAATACGTTTCGGCGTGATTGAGTATCGAACACCCCTCCATCCAAACTGCCACCTAAACACTAGAAGTACCTACACCTTTCAAATCTCGCTAAAATGTTCAACGTCCATCTTCATATCATTCGTCACATTGTAATTGATTATTTCATCACTCATAAACGTCATCGAATTGGCGTCGCGCATTTTCATCGAGACACAAGGCTGAATCTTTGAGGACTTAAGGATCGAACGCATGACCAATTGACAGCGAATGAATCCTCAAATGTGCTGATAAGTAAAAAAAAACATATTTAGTTACTCTACAAGCAGGAGACATTTTTGGGTTTTGTTACGGGCTCGTGCAGAATTTTGCTTTTCGGTCAAAAATAGAAAATTATGGCAACATTATTCTCAGTGTGAACGGATGATCATCTAAAATAACTGTCCCATTTTTACTAGCTATGTTTGCCATTATTTACTTTGTTTTGGCGTGGAAGCCTGTATGCGATATAAAACTTCCGTATCCCTTTTGAAGCCGGTTAAACAAAACATAATCTTGAGAAACCAGATTCAAAAAAATTTTTTGAGACTACATTTATAGAGGTTTTGATCGTTATTGAACATGCTTTGTAAAATATATAATGTCGGTAATAAAACTGTTTTGAAAAAATGATAAAAAATCCTTCCTTAACTCCATAACCCGTCTCCCGTGTAAATAATTCTCGTTTTAATATGATTAAATAATATTTTGTCTTTGTAATAAGTAGACAATTAGGAGCCGTGCCTGCTCCCCGGCGGCGACCCGCCCGCGACCCGCTAAATTTACTTTCCTAAACACAAACTAGGTAAAGGGAGGCGGAACTGAGGAGAGCTAGCACGGAGCCACCAACCACGAAGGAATTGTGCACCATATGAAATTTATAATGTGGAAATAAGACTTAGGAATCTTTGTGTTCTTCCATTTAATTCAAATATGTTTTTCGTGTATGTACATACAAACACGTGTGATCTAGTAAAAGATATGAAAGTGACTGTTATGTTAGACCGGGCAACAACTACTGCATTATAATTTTGAGTACATGTCTTTGGGCAATTTATGAACCGCGCCTAAGTTAGCCGTGAGCATCACCGGCAGAGAAAAAGAATTTGTTTCTTGTGTTGGCGCAAAGAACTGACATCAAAGGTCTCACAGTTCATTAAAAAAGTCGCATCCAACTTTTTGCTCAAGGACTACAGTGCTGAGTTGAGATTTATAAGGATGTTGGCGACGTAGCGACTGAAATTTCCCGGCGACAGTGACTTCTCATGTCTAAGGGGACATTTACTTGCAGTAGTGAGCTCTTCACTTAACCACGCGTATGCATATCTACTAAGCTCAAGTTACTGAAAAATGACTAAAATAGAACAAAGGGAATTGTTTTCAGTACAATATGCATTTAGTTCTTAAGCGAAACGGTTAGACTGATTTTCATATGGTTTTGTATTTACTTGTTTACTTTATGTATTGAACTGTTTAGTCTTTTTTATATTGGAAATGGTTTAAATTTAGAGAAAGGTCTTTTAGCTCATACATTATATGGAATTGAGAAGCCAGAGCACCCAAAAAATTACCTTCATTTGTCAAAGCTCGGTTTCAACAAAAAAATTCACACTTTATTTACAATAGATACTTTATATATGTGTATGTAATTTTAAGCCATTTCTAATATACATGGTGGTCTAGAAAATGACTATTGTTGGAATAACGTTATTGAATATGTAAAGGTTGACTAGTTAAGGCCGACTCTTGCCATATTGCGGCAGTTTTGTGAACTATCAAACCTACCGAAATTCTGTCGCGTTATTACGTCGCCTCTCAATCACTAGCGCCGCCACATGAGGGTCAAAGAATAACTTGTCAGCCTTTAACCATTTTATTAACATACCACTTTCTTGGCCCCCAAACGACTTGTGTGCATATTTTGTGTTCCCACCAAAAGAGACTGTATTCGAAATTTTATTCAAAATATACTTTTATATTATGTTTTATTTATGTAGTGCTGATTTTGTATTTTAGGTATATTTGGCGTTTGTAAAAAGTGAATTCGATCACCGCAATTCAGCTGGTTAACCGCGCTGGGTAATCTACCAAACTTTGGACTGAACGAGTTGGAAACATGATGCGACAGAGTTCTCGCTTTACTCAGTTATCCAGCTGCTCGTGACTGATTTTACCCTGAGGTGTAAATATGCCTTTAAACAATATAACCATTCTTTAGCTCAATTTTATCCATTTCGTTAATATCCTAGCATGGACGATATGCCGCCAGGATGTAATTTATTTTCGTGGTAACTTAACGTAATAGAATATTTTTACCCCTGGGGTAATATGAGTTGCGATGGTTCTGCGGAGAGGCCATACTATGTACAATTACAATAAACTTGACTTATTTATTGAGTTTGTGTTTTTTTTGCCTCGATATTGGAATAACATGGAAATTGTTTCTATCGTACTTAACCAATTCATTCCTAACCATGAAGTGTGTTCGCTTGATACATTGGCTTGATATCTTTCAGAAAATGACGTGCTTTATTTCAACGTAATTATAATGGAGTATTTATTTGAATGTGAACTATATTGTCAGATAAAATATCGTCATTTAACTACAATTATATTTATTTGAGACTCTCGCTTCTCCCAAGGCCTAAAATATTAATTTTGATTTTTTTAATGGGAGAGGCGGTATTATTATTATTAAATTATTGTTATTATTACTATACTTACTATCAGGTGCGGCTCGTCCTAAGGAGCGCTGGTGCACTGAACTCCCACTCCTATCCAATCCACCAAAATAAAATTATTAATGAATATTGTATTAGTAGTCGCAGTATTTCTTTTATTCTTAATGAACGACAAACATCAATTACATTTTTATCTTTCTCTCTTATAGAATAGCATTACTAACCCTTGAGTGGAGCGCTCGGCGATGCGCTCCTATGAACCGAAATTGTTTACAAAGTTCAATACTGAATTCAATGAGTGCGAAAGAGAAATTTCTTTACCACGTGACACAAAAGATTAGTATGAGAAATTGTAAGATTCGAGCGGCGCTCCGTGCACGCCCGTTGATGCGACCACAACCTAATTCTGCACTCCGCCTCCGTGCGCTGTTGCCAGTTTATTTGTCAAATAAACAAATCGTATTTTCTCCGCGCGCATTTTGTTGTGTTGTAAACAATGATACTAAAATTATAATGATATTATGTAACATTCAATATTATTCTATCACGAAGCGTAGTATTGTTTACTGGCATTGTTTAAAATGGAACACTATAACCTGAGCTTCATTTTTAATTTAAAATATGTGTAGATAAGTGAACTCCGACTAAAATCTTCCACGAGCTGCCTCTGCTTACTATTAGTAGGTATTCAAAAACTAGATTTAGTCGGTTAGCCGTTTTAAGTTATAAAAATGTTAATGCTGGTTATGTAACTTGGTTATTACGGTTAACAGGGGGTATTATATGGGTATGTAAACTCTGACCGCGCCACCATTTTGTAATGGAAATTGATAGCCTTCAATGTGTATACTTTATTCACGGTATCAGTTTCAACTGAGCGTTGCTGTACGATTCTCCGCAACCAATCGCGCATTTAAATTCAACTGATAAAATATTTGAAATAATTTCCCAACTGATCACGGCATTATTTAATACGGTTTCAGTTTTTTGGTTTGAAACAAATTACAAAAAAAGTAAGTATTGATGTTTTAATCGTTACTAACGGCGCATTTTGTCAGTGAAATTGTTTATAGGCATCGCTCTATTTAAAGAGCCAAGTCAGAAGACATAAGTCGGACGCTTATACATAGATTTTTTATGAAGCACTTCGTTGCGTGTATGCCACTGCGAAAGGGGAATTAGAGAGTACTATTTCCAAATTTCCTTTTTGTGTTGGTGGTTTCTCCCCTTAGAGCATAAATATAAAACTCAAAGTTTCTGCGTTTTAAAGACAAGTAAAAACCTTGTAAGTGGCTTATCGTGAAAACTAAGATTTTCAAGAGTTTCAAGATTTA